AGGAAAATATTCTTTTTAAATTGTGTTTTAATTTTTTTGTAGAAAATATTTTGATTTAGATAATGTTCTAATTTTCAAATTTTATTAAGAAAATGTTTTAATTTAAATAATAAAAAAATGTTTTAATTTTCAAAACACAAAAAAAAATGATTTAAATCTTTTCTAACAAATGAGTTTTAATTAGAGATTTTTTCTTAAAATGTGAATTACAAAATTTGATCCTAAATCTAAAAAAATTTAAGTTTATGTTTATTTTTTTTAGAAAAGAAATGTTTAACCTTTAAGTTTCAATAAAGAAACTTTAACACAAAGTTAAATTAATATTAAATTACAAATTAATAACAAATCTGATAATAATAAATGACAATAAAAAAATAATAGAAGAAAAAAAACCAGAAAACCAAAGGCCAGCATAACGATGTGTCTGTTCACATTTTCATTAGTTGGGTTTTTCTTTTGAAGTAACCTTCTTCCTCTCCTTCACATGTCGCCGGCGCCATTAGATGATTTTTGGGAGCTTTTCTTCCCTTTCTTGCGCCTGCATGTCGCTTCTCTGTCCTCTTCTTCCTCAATCCAACCTGAAACGCAAAACAGAAAAAGAAAATTTATCATGATGGATGGTTACGTTTCGCGGTTACTTACGAGGATGGCCGGTGAGGACTTCTGAGGCCGTCGCTGGTGGTAGTGAGGCCGAGCTTCACGGCCGCCGCGGGTTCGTCCTCCGTTTGCGACTCTTTTTCTCAATGACGCTTTTCTTCTTCTTCTTTCTGGTGATGATGAAAGCTCGCTGAGTTTTCTGAACCTCTTCTCGGGCTTTTGCGGCGCCGTTTCTTTTGTTCTGTCTAGGGTTCTTTGAATCCCTTTCAAGATTTTCTCTGAAGAACCCTCATGGTTCTCTGAATGTTCCCTTTTCTATGACCTAAAGGTGATTTTTATATATTTTGCGGGCTTGCGAAATAGTTGTAGATTGGTTGCTATTTGGACGGTTCTAATGTTGAACACTTTTTGCGGGATTGTTGGCTTGACTGTTATGAACATATTGTTGCTTTGCGTTTTTGGTTTTGTGTGATTTAACCGTGATTTTATTGCTACGATTTCGAGATTTTCCAGGAACTTCTTCAGGCTTCGTGGTTTTGACTTGTTGATGGTTTTTTGCAGAATCGCTGCATTTTCGCAGCTGAATGTTTGACTGGATTTACTAGCTTGTGGCCCCTTGTTCATTGAACCGGTTTGTGGGACTGAACTGGTTTTGAACTGGTTTTCTTAAACCGGTTTTGAACTGGTTTTCTTGAACTGAATTTATTTGTTTGAACTTGTTGGATTTTTGTTGAAATTGGTTTTTCAGGAAGATTGGCGTTAAGGCCTCGTTTGGGCAAACCGTCATCCTGAAAAAAACCACTTTTCTCAAACCGACTTTTCAAATAAGCACTTTTTGATATAATCTCTTTTTGGCCAAACAGCTTATTTCAAAAACAATTTTCCTCTTCTCTTTCTCGGTAGCCTTCGATAAGAACAGATAACTGCCGGATAGGCCATTGGCCGAGAATCGAACCCGGTGATGATACCACTCTGAGGGTATCAAAACTAACCGATTCAAGTTTAATATTGTTTTTTGTCTTGTTTTGCAGGTATGGAAGAATTGGGAAAGTCGGAAAAGATCGGAAGAAGTTTAGGATTAGGAACTTAGAAACACGTTTAGGAAAAAAATGTAATTTTTATTTTTTGTAATTTTATTTGTATATGTTTTTTTAAAGAATTATCATTATTAATAAAAATTCTTTATTTTGTGAAAACATTATTATTATGCTTTTTGTTATGCAAAAATAAAAATGGAAACCATTATATATGTTTTTATTTAAAATATAAAATAAAAACAAATATTAAAAATGCACATAAAATTATTTAAAAGAATTTAAAATAAAAATGTGAACAATGAAATAGAGTTATAAAAAATGAAGTTATATATATTTTTTAAAACATGAAATGAAAATAAAACTTAAAATGAGATGAGTTATTTTAAAATGAAATGAAAATATAATAGAATTAAATGAAATTAATTTAAAATAAAATGGAAGTACAAGGCAATATGATTAATTTAAAAAGTACAAATAAAATGAAACTTCAAATTTTTTTATTAATTCCTAATTTTCTTTGATTCATCCGACTAATCCGTTTCCAACACCATTTTCGATTAAAACCTCCCAACCAGATCAAACAACCCAAAGTTTTTGATTACAACCCAAAATTCACCTTGACGGCCGGCTGCGAACAAATGACCTTTTTGCCCTTTGGGATTTTTCTGCAAAAACCAACAAACTGCACAACCTGTTAGTGGTTAGTTAAAATGCGATGCGAAATGCGAAATGATTCGACTAAATCTCAGGGCAAAATTTGGGGTATTACACAAATGAACTGGATCTTCTACTTTTCACACCCCCTCCCTCTATTTCTTTATATTTCATTTCCTTAATTTCTTTTCATTTTCATTCATTTTCTAAAAATCATATAAAATTGAAAAAACATTATTTTTTGATAATTCTTTTTGCATAATTTTCTTTAAAGAGTCAAGAAAATTATAAAAAATAAAAATTGCATTTTATTTTTTATTTGATATTTTTCCCATATTTTCCAAATAAATGCCTATTTTAGGTGTTCCATTTCATACATGAATTTGTCAATTTTTGTTCATGCACTTTCTAATTGATTTTGATCCCATTCTTTTTTTGTGCCATCAAATAAGAATGTGTAGACTCTCTGGATTTTGTACTAGGATTTTTAGAAGTTTATTTTTAGTAGTTTGCTTATGTGGCATTTAGGTGTTCAAAATTAGGGTTTTAAATGAGCATAGGTGAGATAGATTAATTCTTTTAGGAGATTTTCATTTGATTTTTGGGGTATGGACTATAGGGGTTATGGGTATAGGATAGATCCCCTTAGAAAATATTAAGATTCCCCTACTGCTATTAGTATATTGATTATGATTGGTTAACTGTGTGGTGTGCCCTCTTTAGGGTTATCTTTTTGCCTGTATGGGGTATTGGGTTTGTTTGGGATTTGGGGGGAGCTGGAGACCTGTGATGATGAAGCCCAGTGGAAGATCAGAGAATGAAGACCAATTTTCAGAGCTAATGAGGAGTATCTCTTGCTGGTGGCTGCTGAAGTTTGTAGGACATAGGAGTTAGGCAGAGCTCTAGCGTAGCCAACTTGATTTTCAAACATGGAAGGTCTTGACTGCCTGCATTCTTTTCTGTGATACAGAGTCTCTCTAAGACACTCACCCCCTTCCTTTCGAAGGCTTGGTGCTAATGTCTGAGGGATAGAACTCTTGAGAGAAATATTCTTTGTGTTGATAGCAGTATGTTTGCCACCCATGGTGGTCAACTAATTGCTTAACACCCAGTTTATTCTTGTGATTGATTCCTCAGCTTGGAGAGGAGGACTTGAAGAAAAGCTATTGGGAGATTGAAGATCAAAGTCTGATGCATGCTTGAAGCCTATGGATAGCTGATATTGACTTGAAGATAGTTGCTGATGCTGATGAAGATTGCTTTGATGTTTAGCTTTTGCTGTTTAAATTTTTGATGTATTGTGTGAATTTCCCGGGCTGTATTGTTTGCTGTTTAACTTGCTGGGTTGAAAGTGAATTCTGTTCATTTTTGCCTATTGTTTTCTAGGTTCGAGGTTGAGTGGGACTCCCTTGCCTCGCTTGTATTGTTGCATCCATGCATTTTACTGCTTTATTGTACATATTTGCTGTTCCTGTTTCCGTCCATTCCCTTAGGATCTCTGTTTCTCTCTGTGCAAGAGAGGAGCATGATAGACATTAGGAGTTAACCCATGCATGATAACATTAGGGTAGATTTTTATCCCTTTTAACCCTAGGATTTGTAGAGTGTCATCTCTTCTTCCTTCAAAACAACAGAAAAACACTAATAAAGGTTATAACAGAGATTAATTCATTTCTTCCGTCAAAAGATTTGAACAAACATCAACCTTTTTGCAATAAGAAAACCCTTGTTTAAGGTGACATTTTTCATAAAAGACACTTGAGCAGCTTGTGTCGTGCGTAGCCCGAACTACGTTTGCTCTGATCTTCCATGCAGTGTGGAAGTACGTAGGCATAGGATGCGATATCCTAGCGAGCAACCTTCACCCACCTTTCCCCGTAGCTAGGCGAACTACGTTGACACTGATTTCTCGTTCCAGACGGGAATACGTAGGCATAAAGTGCGATGCTTTACCGAGTCATGTTTTCTTTTCTTTTCAGACCTCATCCTGTAGTTTAGATAGAAGTGTAATCCGTACAAACCAAGCAAGCGTGGATCCCATCGAGTACGATGGACGTGAGGGGTGCTAATACCTTCCCCTTGCGTAACCGACTCTCGAACCCAGGTTTTGGTTGCGATGACCATACCTTTTCCCGTTTTTTGCGAGGTTTACTTCGAGCGTTTCCTTTCCCTCTGTTGGGATAAATAACGCACGGTGGCAACTCTTCTGTCAGCCGGCGCCGATTTTCGCAGTAGCGACACGGGCCTCCAACAGAGTTTCCTCTAGCTTCGCCCCGCTCAGGCATAGTTCACCATCTTTCGGGTCCCGACAGGTATGCTCTCACTCGAACCCTTCACAAAAGATAAGGGTCGGTCGATGGTGCAACCCACAAGAGGATCCCACCAATCAGCTTCCTTGCGCCTTACAGGTTTACTCGCCCATTGACTCGCACACATGTCAGACTCCTTGGTCCGTGTTTCAAGACGGGTCGAATGGGGAGCCCACAGGCCGACGCCAGGAGCGCGCAAGTGCCGAAGCACGCCGAATCGGCGCGCGCTGCCGTCCACAATCGTGATGATGACGTCTCCGCGAGCATTTCAACAACCCAGGCTTGGGCCACCATCACAATCCGCGTCGGTCGATGTCTCGAGTCGATTGGCGGACCGGCACGAACCGTTCCACATCCGATCGAGACACATCGTCGGGCCCCATCCGCTTCCCTCCCGACAATTTCAAGCACTCTTTGACTCTCTTTTCAAAGTCCTTTTCATCTTTCCCTCGCAGTACTTGTTCGCTATCGGTCTCTCGCCAATATTTAGCCTTGGACGGAATTTACCGCCCGATTGGGGCTGCATTCCCAAACAACCCGACTCGCCGACAGCGCCTCGTGGTGCGACAGGGTCCGAGCACAACGGGGCTCTCACCCTCTCCGGCTCCCTTCCAGGGGACTTGGGCCCGGTCCGACGCTGAGGACGCTTCTCCAGACTACAATTCGAACGCCGAGGGCGACCGATTCTCATGGTGGGCTTATCCCGGTTCGCTCGCCGTTACTAAGGGAATCCTTGTTAGTTTCTTTTCCTCCGCTTATTGATATGCTTAAATTCAGCGGGTAGCCCCGCCTGACCTGAGGTCTCATCACGAGCGTTTAGAAACACGCATATGGGTAAAAGAGACCAAGTTCAATAGAGCAGCGCATGATTGGTCTCGTGGGTCACACAACCACCATTTATCATGGCACACCCTACCAAGGTCTCAAATTTCAACCAACTGTTGCACCCTAAAATTTGACCAACCGGGTCCCGTATTTGGTCCTATGTTTCGACGCATAACCGCATTCGCATCTGCATATCGCATACAGTGCATTTTTTCATTTGTTTTGATTTTGTCGGGATCACAGCTCTCGTCTCGCGTCTCAGGTGTTTTTTTAATCAGTTCAGATAGGTAGAACCGTATTTTTTGGGATATTTCGGTGCCCGTTTATTTTTACCGGCTATTTTGGTGCGCTCTCGCGGTGTTATGTGTCGTTCGGCGCTTATTTTGTTCCTCTGGGAATTATTGTGATTTTTCTGGATTTTATTGACTATTTTTAGGGTTTAAATAGATTTTTAATCATTTTAGGATAAAATAGATATTTTTAGAATATAATAAATAGATTTTTAATCATTTTAGGATAATATAGAATTTTATAGAATATTAATAGATTTTTCTTTTAGAATATTAATTGAGTTTTTGAATATATTTTTTAGATATAGAATATTAATAGGTCTTTAATATTTTTAATAATTGTAATTCTTTTTAGAATGCATTAGATAGATTTTTTTTATCATTTTTAGAATATATTAGGTTTAAATAGATTTTTAATCATTTTTTGATAATAGAATAATATAGTTTTTCTTTTATTAATCATAGATTTTCTTTTAAAGAAATAATATAGTTGTTTTTTTTAGAAGTTTTATGGAGTTAAATAGAATTTTAATATAGAATATAGATTTTTCATTTTTAATAAATGAATAGATTTTTCTTTAGTAGATATTATAGAATTAATAGAGTTTTTTCTCTTTTTTAGATTTAATTCAGAATTAATTAGATTAATTAGGTTTTGGTTAATTAGTGTTAATCCATTTTTATTTTTTCTAATCATGTTAATTCAGTTTTTGATTTTTTTGATGGCATTTTCGTTTGGGCCCCATTCAATTCGTAAAGCCTAGTTCAGCATGAGTTTGTCCAGAGTTTTCCAGCCAAATCTAGAAGGATCCAGAATTAATCTCAGGCTATATATTCAGTCATCGCCACGTGTTGCATGGAAGGAGGCCCCACATTTTTTGCTGCATGCAGGACACGCCATCACCCACTAACTATCTCTCCCTCACACGTGGCATACATGCCATAACTCTCTCCACTAATCCTGCCAAGTGTCTCCCTCCAAGCCTTCACCGGTTGCATGGCCGGCGGCCATGTAACCACCGCACCCAGTCCCTTCAGGCAACCGTAACAGTCTCCGATCACCGCCCTCCGCCGTAACCAACTTCGCCGGAGATCATTTTTCCAGAATTTTTCCAATCTTCATCCTTTTCCAGTTTCCGATTACCCTTCAATATCATAGTTTCAGTTCATCTCCCTCCTCCGATCCATCTTCATCAACAAATCTTTCAGGTCCTCAATCGTTCCCAGAAGATCTAGAAGATCTTCGTCCACAAACGCGTTCATCCATGAACATTCATCAGCGAACGCTTCCAGTACAGGTCTTCATCACCACGCATCTCAATCCGTCTTGAAGAACAACAAGTTCGTCCAAGAACTTCAAAGATCTTCTTCAGCCCCAATCATCGATCATCAACTTCTTCAAGACTCACCTAAGATCATCATCCGTTTCTTCATGAGCTTCAGCGTCAGTTTTCCAGAATCGTTAGATCATCCTCGCGCGTTCTTCGTTTGTAGCAATCTTCAGTACGTCATCAAGAACCATTCTCCAGAAGTCATCAAACAACGAATACTCTTCTTCCGTCCAGATTCACATGCAAGGTTAGCCGTTGAAGTTTTTTCCAGATTTTTGTATCATTCTTCATCGCTTCGTCAACACCAAATCTTCAATACACGAACATCAGGTCATCCACCTCCATAAACACGGATCTTCATCTTCTGAGACATCCAACCATGGATTTGTGGCTTCTGTTAACATTGAAGCGAAATCGGGTATTACGAACTATGGGAAAATTCGTTTGAGAGCTAGGCTTTGAAGTTAAATCAGAGAAAGGTGAGAGGGAGAACAAGAAAGAGGGAGAGAGTTTGAATCTGATGAGTTGAGATGAGAGGTAGAAAGAACAAGGGGAATGGAGTTGAACGAGAAGGAGAGGGAAGACGGCGCCGGTGATGAACAGTGGAAAGGGGAGACAGAAGAGGAATTAGGTTTTGGGAAAGGCCAAGAGAAAGGAGATTCTGCATGGATTGGGCTGGGCCCATAGAGGTTTCTTCCGTACACACCCTGGTCCACTTCGCTGCACCCCCTCCGTGTGTTCTGTGACTATGGGCCAAGCTCAATGCCAAGACCATCTGGACATACACACTGCATTCTGGCCAGCACCTCCCCATCCGTTTTTTTGCAGCACCAGCTGCTGGGCTGGGCCCAACTCATTTGTTTTTTTTTATTTTCTTATTTTTGCTTAATCACACCCCAACTGGGCTATGCCCCCCCCCCCCCCCCCCCCCGGTTCTCTTTTCATATTTTTGTTTTATTTCATCTTGTAAAAAAGAAAAATATATCAAAAAATAATATTGTGAAAAAAAAAGAGAAAAGAAATAAAAGAAAATATCAAAAGAATATTAAAAAGAAAAGAAGTGAAAAAAGGAATATTAGAGAAAAAGATTGAAAAAAATAGCAAAAGAAAAAAAGAGGAAAGAAATAAAAGAAAAAAAATATGAAAAAAGACATGGAGAAAAATATATGAAAAATATATAGGAAAATACAGAAAAAATATAAAAAAATATTTTGAAGGAAAAAGAAGAAAATAGTTGAAAAGAGATGTATAAAAAAGAGAAAAAATATTAGGTGTAATATTTTTTAGAGTGTATTTTCTTCATAGGAGTTTATTTTCCTTTTAGGGATAGAATTAGACGTCCACTTGTTAGGGGACTACTTTCCATTTGATTTTTCAGGATAGGATAGGATAGTATTTCCTAGGAGATTATTTTTCAGTATTCACTCATTGTAATCATTTTTCAGAATGTTAATAAAACGAGATTTGAGTTGTGGTCCCGAGGTAGACGAACTACAGCTGCTCTGATTTCTCGTACCAGACGAGAATATGTAGGCATAGGATGCGATGTCCTAGCGAGCACACTAACAACTGACTTTTTGTTCTCTCGCTGCTGTGCGATCGAGACGTTCCCGCTGGCGACTAATTGTTACCCTTTTTCTCTCTTGCCCGAGTGCATTTGAAACCAAACCATAGTTTTGCCCATAGGTTCCCGTACCTTTGGAATCAGTTGTTTTTCTCACTGCCGTGTGAGAATACCCTTGTTTAGCCGTAGTTAGTCTGAACTACGTAAAGCTCTAATCTTCCATGCAGTGTGGAAGTACGTAGGCACAAGACGCGAGGTCTTGGCGAGCCAATTTTCCCTGTAAGCCCGAACTACGTCGACTCTGACTTTCTCTCTTGAGAATACATAGGCATAGAGTGCGACGCTCTATCGAGTCAATTCCCTTCCGTTTAGATTTAGCAGTCGTAGATAGATTGTTTTACATCCTTTAGACAACCCAAGCAAGCGTGGATCCCGTCGAGTACGACGGACGTGAGGGGTGCTAATACCTTCCCCTTGCGTAACCGACTCCCGAACCCAGGTTTTGGTTGCGATGACCATACCTTTCCCCGTTTTTTGCGAGGTTTACTTCGAGCGTTTCCTTTCCCTCCGTTGGGATAAATAACGCACGGTGGCGACTCTTCTGTCAGTCGGCGCCGATTTTCGCAGTAGCGACAGCTGGCGACTCTGCTGGGGACTGCGATAGTTCCCCATGCATGTGGGATCCAACGTCCCCTCAGAGAGAGTCAATCCTAGCGCTTGTTTACTTGTCTATTGGGGCTTATTTATCGATATTATCTGTTGCTGTTGGGGTGTTACGGGTGTTCTATGATTGAGAGATAAGCCGGACCTGGGCTTGAGTGCACCTTAGACTTAGAGTAGAGATTAGTGGGTGCGTATCGGCTTTGCTTGTACTAGTGTCCCGCGAAATCTACACTCGGACGAGGTTCTTCTGGTTGACTTCTTTTTCTACCCTTTGGGTCGAGGGGGTTGTTTGGTCAGTTGGATTGTCGACTCCGGGAACCGATCATTTGGAAGTTAGCTAAGTGAGGCCTCTTCAGGACTCGATGATGCCACTCCTTCTGGGAATCGTATCGTCAGTCTTGAAAGTCTGTGACGCTGACGACCGCATAGGATGTCGTACCTTGTCAGATATAGGTCCATACCTGTGAGTGGGGGGGAGGGGTTTGCAGGAAACTTGACTTTCAACCTACCCGTTATTCTGGTCTTCTCTTTAGAGAACGTCTCCGTCAGCAGCGCAGCAGTATTCAGATTTTGTGGGGGTTGTGGTCCCGTTGTTTGCTGCATCTTGCATATCATGTGCATATCAGTGTTGCATCATATTGCATATCATCCTCCAGCTAGCCAGAGTTCTGATCCAGCCTTTGTTTCCTGAAGGTGACTACCCGGAGTTTGGATTGAGCAACTGTTGATTGTCAGAAGACCTCCCTAGGGATTGAGTAGATTTGAGCAGAATCAAGCATTGAAGTCAGCTGAAGATTATTGGTAGCTATGTCTGAAGGCCATTTCCAGTCTCCTAACACCTTGACGGGGTTCACTATAGCGTCCAACCCTTTGTATGATTCTATGGAAGACTTCCCGCAAGTGAACAACGTTACTGCAGACCAAGTTGTACAGCCCTCTGTTGAGAACCAAAGTCGACATGAGCAGTTTGTTGCCCGAAATGAGCGTCCTCCTCCTGTTAATAATCAAGGTGTTGCTT